GCCTCTGGGGGGTCGGGGGGGGGTGGTGGGGTTCACATTACATGGCGTCCACAACCATTTTACGATCTTTTTCATGAGCAGAGTCAGTTGCACGAAGTCCGGGCCCTTGCTTCCCCCATTTTCCCCTCTTTCTTTTTTTTCCATATTGCAGAATGATGTTTGAAAGGCTTTTCTCATGATCCACCCAGTTCTGTGTGTTAATGAAAGCATATCATCTCTTGTTTGATCAAATCTAATAACTCTGTGTTACCTAAAAATGAGAGTGTAATAGATTAGAACAAGGTAAAATAGAGTGAGCTGAGATAGAAGGACTTTTTAAAAACTCCTGTCATTTTTCCCCCCTTTTAAGCCATACAGTCATCTGCCTACCAGGTGGGACTTATTTGGCTAATGGTGAACAGATGTACCATGCTGTACCCAATAGATGAATTCCTGAAAAGCTGCATTTGGTAGAATTTTTATGAATTGAATCACATTTTCCTGTAGCCTTGTATTGTAGTAACAGAAGCCATTATCCACATTTGACTGATTCTCCATTGGCAGAGGCCTCTAACACTTGAGCTTTAAGTTTCTCAGCCAAATCTCTATGTCAAATGGTTAATGATCTGGAAATAATAAGCACTTATGTGAGCTCGGGGAGTACTGTACTTAAAAGAAATTTGATTGTCTTCCTCCAAAAGTAAAGAATCTTTATGGCACAGTCTGAATTCTCACTGTGGAATCCTACCGAACAGGAACCTTAAGGATGATGCAGTCCAAACCTTGAAGAAACCAAGGCCCCATTTTTATTCATCTGTGGCAGCTTGTAACAATGTAATATAAAGAAGGAATATTCATTTTGAGGGTGACCAGCGTGAATTCCAATGTTCTGATTCTCGGGAACTAGCTGTTCGGTTCAGACAAACTGTTGGAAGTTTCTGAGTCCAGTGTCTTCATATTTAAGACAGAGACAGTGTGACCTCCCTCTCAGGGTCGTTGTAAGAATTAAATAACAGAGGGTGAGAAGTAGGGAATCAAGGGGAAAAGGAAAAAATAAATAAAATTTAAGAAACAAGAAATGGAACATTATTTGTTGATGATAACATGTATGTTAATATCCTTGGTTAAGCCAAAATACAATGTATTCTGGATGGGAAATCACATTTTATACACTGTGATAATGTAGTGAATGAATGTAAAATAAATAAATTTATTTTTAAAAATTCTGTTTCAAAAAAAAAAAGAATTAAATGAAATTAGGCATGGTGGTTAAGGTGCTAGACTTCCACATGGCTCACCACTGTTCGAATCCTAGACCCAGTGACTTGAAACTCACACCAGGGGCATGGGCACCCATGCCCCAAATCCCAGGGGAGGTTGGAGGAGAAGGGACTGTGGTGTGACTATTGCCCTGGGGGACTGATTTCTCACTTTTCCTCTCACTTTCTCTCTCCTCTCTGGTGAGTGCATGCATCCTACAGCAAAAACCTTTAAAAAAATTAAATGAGGTAATGTTTATAGAGTGGTAACACCGTGCCTAGGAAATAACAAGGCTTCGATGAATGTTCATCTCCTCTCAACTTCTTGGTTTTGGATCTTTAAAAAAAAATGACGTGGTTTTCAGAAATGCGTTTCTTTTCAAATTGCAAGAATAATAATGGTTGTTGCAGAAATTTAAATGAAGTTAAAGAATATGGAAGAACCCACAGTGGTCCCTTTTCATTCTCTCTCACTCCCAGAGCCCCTTTCCCCAAACCTCTTACTAAAGGAAGCACTGCTACCAGCTCGGTTTGCTCCACGTCCTTCTCAATGTTTTTCCTTCACTGTTTTTTTAGATCATGCATAGCCTGCACTGAAGTTATGTGGAACTTGCCAAAGGTTAAGCGCATTTATCAAAAGGCGGAGCCGGCAGCCTGTGTCCTGGGGCAAGTGAGGCCCTGGAGCAGCCCTTGGTCCTGGACCCACCGCTGCAAGGAGTGCGCCCTTGGAACCCCAGCTGGACCTCTGTCCCGACCTCAGGGTCGCGAGCTGGTCAGGCGCAGGGATGCGGGGCGCAGCAGCCTGCATTGGAAGGTCAGCGGGGCCAAGCTGTGGGCCTACAATTTCGACATGGTTTCCAACCCAGCTGCCCTAGCGTTTGTGCTCACAGAGTGGCGGAGGAAACTTTGTAGGGTCACTAAAGGGAGCGGGGACCACTCAGCCTGTGCAAAGACGTTCTGGTGTCTGTCGGAGAGGTGGGAAGTGGATGCCTCCCCTCTAACGGGGTGGTGCTGGGATCAGCCTGCCTTGGGCTCTCTGGAGTCCCTCCCCGGCTCCCCTCAGGTTTCCTCGGGCCCATCCCAGCCTCACCGTGTGTGACTTAACGTACACTGAAGCCCCTCGCGGTCTGTTTAGATAATCAGCCTAATTGCGGGAGCCAGGTGGGCACCTTGTATTTAGGAAGTCCAGCCTCTAGCACTGCCACCCAGCGTGTTGGCCAGGGGCGCGTGCCACACCGGCTCCCCCACCCTTCTGATTCAGTGGGTCCCCCTTTCAGGTGCCAGGAGCCAAGCACGAGCCTCTTTGTAAATCCATGACATCAAACACGTTTGCGGAAAAACAAGTGTTCGTTCGCGGCGCTGGACGTCAAACCGTGCGCAGTGGCTGCGGCCTGGACTCCGGGACCCCGGGGCTTGACCTGCCAGTCTCCCTGAGGCTGGCTGTGAACAGGCCCGTGGTCTGCTCTCCTTACCGTAAACTAATGAGCACGTGCTCCAGAGCCGGCGGTGGGACGCCCTTCCTCTCCCAGACATCCCTGGGTGGGCCTGACCTGCTGCCCTGTCCAGGCCTCACGCAGGTCGTGACAGCCGCCATGGGGTAAGCAGTTCCAACCTGCCGTGCCCGGCTTTCTAACGAACATCCATATGGAGTATCTGGCTGCATTGTTTCTACACCACCTCGTGAGGGAAGGATGAAGGGGGAATGTTGAAGGGGAAGTAGCCAGGGAGGAAGAAAGGGCTGGGGCAGCTCCCAGGCGCGGTGTGGCAGGCACCAGACAGCATCACATGCACCCGAGGAATTGCACCGACCATTCCCTAAGGAGGCTGCTTGCTTTCCCCACTTCCCGCTCTCCGCCCCTCATTCCACCCCCGCCCCAACTCCCTGAGCAAGCACACATGCCCTCTGGCAGATAAAAAAAAAAGAGTCGTAAATTCCACCAGAAAGCCAGCTTCCCTGGGGCAGCCCCCTTCTCTGTCCACGCCAGCAACTGGCCCTTCAAGAGAGGCTGGGTGGTGACAGTGGAAAGCAGAGACTCCCAGGGGAGGGGTGGTCGCAAGGTCACATGCTGCAGAGCCCAGTGGTTATCTGGAGGAATGACGCTGGTGAGGTTAAAACAAACACCCAAGTGAATGCAGCATAAAGGCAGCGGATGCTGAAGGGGACACAGGCCTAGAAGAGTGTGGTGGGACTTCCCGCAGTCACAAAACTGGGGACAAGGAAGCACTGACGGCCCAGTTTGCTCCACTGTCTGCGCAGTAGATGCTTGGACTCTGTCTCATGAGTGCACACACTGTGGCATAAAAGGAGCATTTGATGAAACAATTTTTATATGAGAAATGAGGATACAATGGGAAAAACATATTTTCATTCAGAACAGGGTAAAATTCTGGGTTCTCTGCCTCCAGCTATAGTGCTTTGAGCAGCTTTTCTTTGTTTTCAGGCTGTTTCTTCATCAAGAAAGTGAGATATCGGTGCTTTCCTACAGATTGAGGAGACCGAATGAAACTCAGTAAGTACCATACGTAATACAAGAGCAGGTGCTCAGTAGTTCTGATTTTATTTCTAAACATGAAACTGGCATTCACCAACTCCGAAGGGCATGCCATTATAAAAGAGAATTTGTAGTTACTATTTTCTGTTTCCAGTAGGATAGAAAGCTGAACAAGGAGAGAATGAGATTGAACAGAGAGAGACAGAGAGATAGAAAGCAAGAAATCACCCCCCAGGGGTGGATGGCCACGCCGCAATCCCTTCTCCTCCATTCTCCTCTTGGGATCTTGGGAACGCACGCACACGCGCCCGGCGTGAGTTTTAAGCCACCGGGTCGGGGACGTGAACCACAGTCGCCTACATGGGAGTCCAGCGACATAGCCATTATGCTAACTGCTGGTCCTGAGACTGAATAGATTTTTAAGAAAAGATCTCTGAGAAGACACTGCATGGTAGTAGAGGCTATTGTGGGGGGTTTGATGGGAAAAGCTTTCATCATGAGGTAACATTAAACTTGGTTTCTTGAGCAAGAGCAGGTGTGGGGAGGCTGCAGTGGGTGACAGAAGTGAACCTTACAATGGGACAGGGAGGACAAGACATTGAAAGGAGATAGAGTAGTTGCACCCAGAAAGGGAAGGATGGGGCACCCCAGGTTTCTAATTGTAACATAGATCCTGAGGTGCTGAAGGGAGTAGGGACCACTATAAAGATAAGCAAGCCTAGTTTGCGTTTCTCGGGAGTTTGCTTTCTTCTGTCGGTCATGGGATCCGTCTAAAGGATTGATGCAGGGAAGAAATACAATCAAACTTATTTTTCAAGAACTTTCTGATTGTAGCATGGTAGATGAGAGGGAGAGGAGGAACCCTAGTCAGAATCCTATTGTGAATCTATTTAGAACAGTGGCAGGAGGACTGTAAAGTCAGGGAAGACTCTACAACCCTGTGAGAGATTAAGGATGGGTTTGGATTGTACCCCTATAATACAGAGAAATGTTGCTGTGTCATTTCTGGGGGAAACATTTCTTTTTCCCAGTTGGGCTACTTTTCAAATCCACTATTATTCTGATCAATGAAAGAGAATGTAGGAGGCTTTAATTGGCTTTCTGAGCAGACCAATTTTTAAGATGGTAGACTAGGGAGACCAGTGATAATAAATCCCATTTTACTAACTTCTGTCCATGTCTCTCCTTCTGGTAGCCTATTTTGAAATAATAGCATGTGATTTCAATATGTTCCATCATTCTAAAATAAAGTCAAATGATTTTATTTTACTCTAAAACTTAGAGCAATAAGACATCATTAGTAATACCAAAAGGAATTATATTAAAGTTTAATATTAAAATGTTAACATCTGTTCTGGTCTCAGGCTTTATGGAATTTCAAACTTTTAGATGAAGAAATGTCAAGCTCAAACTGAAAGTACCCTGAATGAATAAAATAACTTTATCCTCCTGACAATGCTGGAAGAGAAAGGGAGATATATTTCAACTTCAGGGGGTGATAAAAAGAGAGGAGTTAACGAGATTTTCTACTCTGAGTATATGAAGGACTCCATTTAGGGTTGGTTTGTGCCACATAAGTTAATTTTATTTTAGAGGAAATAACTTTGCCCACCTAGTTCTTAAGTCTTATTTCCCAAGCTGTAGCAATAAGGGTCCCAACATAAAACAGATGGCCACTCAAATGGGGGTAATTCCAGAATGTTTCATGAAGGTATTGTCACAAAGGTGTGGACAAGATCAAGGGAAATCAACAAGAGATAGTGAAATGTCATGCTTCTACAGACAGCCTGGAGCTCAGGACCCACTGCACTCCTGTATCCAAAGAGGCATGAATGGGATGATTATTGGAACCTGGAGAGGACTGTAACTCTGGAGAAACCTGTGATAAGCCCATCCATGACCTTGGTAGACAAGCATGTCCACTAGTAAGCCATGATTCAATAAAATGGGAATAGGGAGACAGTTACTCTGACCTCCCTTTCCTCTTCATCTCACCTTTCCTAGTCTCCTGTGGGTACCTCCATTGGCCAAACCCAACTGGAAGCCAGTGTGCAGAGGAACCTGCTAATAGAGTTCACAAAGGTTAGCCCCTCTGAGCATGAAGCAGAGTGGAAGAGGGTGGCTCTGCAGGACATATGGAGAATGTCCATTGGACTTATGGGTTGTTGATACCAGACATGCTGAGGAGGTAGTTGATGTGATAAAGATCTTGGCTCTAGAGCTAGTTTGTGTTTCTCAGTTTTGCCAGTCATTATTTATTAGCCATAGGAACTTTTCTCATTTAACTCTTAAAGAGAAATTCCCTTTAGTCCAGACAAGATCCATTCTTCAGAAGGATCCTGTGATTTTAATGTTTGGATGCCTTTTCCCATAGATACAGCAAGTTGGTATAATTGCCTGATAATCTTAGGTTAGTTGAAACTGAGCAATAAAGGATCTTTCCAGGTATCAGAATCTGGGGATTCGTTTAGGTTTACTACACATTGTTTGGTTATTATTCCACTGAACCAAGAATTTCACTTTAGATAGTCACTGTATAATTTTTTCCTAGTTAGGAGCCCAAGGGTCCCAGCTCCATGGCCTAGTGGTAATGCACTGAGATCCCATATGGCCAGTCACATAGTGGAAGTCCTAGACCCAGTGGCTTGAGAAACACACTGGGTGCATGTACATGTGTTCCCAGAATCCCAAACAAATGGAAGTGATGGAGAAGAAGGGATTGTGGTGTGACCATTCCCCATGGGTGCTTTCTCCTTTCCCTCTGTCTCTTCCTCTCTCTGGTGAGTGTGTGCACCCTCTAGCAAAAGAAAACAAGCTGAAGGAAGAGCAGAGCCCATGCATAGTTTCCCCACCAAGATGTACGTTTTACAAGGCCAAGGACTTTTATTTCCAGATGTATCTCCCACTTCTAGCTCAAAATAGACATTCAATATAATTTCTTTGTAGTAAACAAATGAAAAACTTATTTGGGAAAAAAAATGTATTGAGAAATTGAGACAACTCTTGGAACCACAGCAATTTCCCCCAAATGCACGTTAATTGTTTAGTCCTCTTTGCGGGAGAGTTTAGTGAGCTAGAAGGTAACAAAGATGTTGGATCCTTTTGAAATTGTCTCTAAAACTTTGATCCTGACTCATACCAGGATGTCTGGGGAATGCCCCACCTAGGAGACAGCCTTGGGCCTTCAGTGTAGGAGTCCTGCCTCCCCAGGAATGGCGAGCTGAACGTTGTTCAACTTGTAAGAATGTCAGTGCTTCTGCTGGCTCTAGCTCTAGGGATGTGTCCCTTTTATCTGGCCCCTAAAATGCTCTCCCTTTCATGTTGTTAAGTTTTGAAGTTTACCCAAGATCAAGTTCTATGTTGCACCTGAATTGATAGGTGAAACACTCGCTGTTGTTTCAGTCTAGTCTATGATGAAAAAAGATGACTGGATTCAGGTGGATGGATCCGGTTACCTAGTCATCGAATTACAGTATTGATTGCAAGCTACTACATCTCACCATCTGATAGCCGTAAGATGTTTAAATAGGCACTATCTCCTTTCTCCAGGGGTTACCATTCCATGGCAAATGTATTTTCTAACTAGTTGCTTCCCAGATCAGGTGCACGGGAAGTGTCTTTAGTGAGGGTCTACTGGAAAACTTCCTTTTCCTGCAGCATTCTGCTTTTTCCCCACAAAATCTTCTCTTCTTTAGTGAAGACAAACACCTACATATATAGTGAGTTCACTTCATGGGTTAGATCATTACTCTTATCTCATAAAAATGTTCCATCTATTTTTTTCCCTGAATTATATACTCATATATCTAACTACCTGTCTAATGTTTTGACTTGAATATTTAACAGGTAGTTTAAATTTAATGTGTCAAAAACTAGATTCTTAGCTTTTTCCCATTTTACTATATAACTCCATTTTCCCACCTGTTCAAGATGGAAATCTTGGGGTTGTATTTGACTCTATTCCTTTCCTTACGCTTCATATCTAATCCAACAGCAAATTGTCTCAGCTTTTCCCTCTGAACATAACGGAAATCTGACCACTCATTATTATAATCACTGCTATTACACTAGGCCAAGTACAATTATTTCTCACCTGTGATAACCACTGAAGGAATCTCTCAGCTTTCATTTTCGTGTACCCCCAAGTCCTTCAAAAACCAGAGACATCCTTCTAAAACCTAAGTCAGACTACGCCACTCTTACTCAAAATCTTCTTCCTGTTTTCCACTTCACTATAATTTAGGGTGTGTTTCAACTCAATCCAGGATTTGAATCTCAGTTGACGCTGTGGCTTCCAGCACTACAGATCATCAAACTACCATCTGCATCAACTCAGCTGGGCCTCTCAGAATCCCATCTCTCCCGCCTCTTAGAAACTCTTACTTCTTTCCTTCTTGTTGACTCCTCTTTGTCATCTTGGTCTTACTGGTCTCTGTGATCATTCCAAAGGTGATTTTCCCTCAAAACCTTTTTCCTTTGGTTTTTCTTACCTCCATCATCTTCCTTCATTTCCTTAATGTTAGAGGCCTTCTTCTCCAACCATTGGAGTTTCTCTGTTCCTCCCTTACTTTATTTTTATCTGTGACACTTACCACCATTTGATGCATTATGTATTTGCTCGCTCCTTGTCTGTCTTCCTCACTAGACTGTCAGCTCTGTGTGGGCAGGGATTCTGTTCATTACTGTTACCTCCAGTGCCTGGCTCTGGCATACAGTGCATACTTGGTAAATATTTACTGCGAGCAAGAATGAAAACATTTGCTAGGGTTTCAGCATGTCCCCCAAAATTCATGTTTTGAAATTTAGCTACTATTGTGACAGTATTAGGAGGGTAGAAACTTAATATGACTATGTTATTAAGAGGTAGTCAGGATTAGATAGAGTCATCAAGGTGGGGCCTCCACGCTTGAATAATGGTGGCTTCATAAGGAAAGGGAGAGAGACCAGAGCTGACACACTCTTGCTCTTTTGTCATGAGATTTCTGATGCTCCCTCGAAACTCTCAGGGTCTCCACCAC